AGCTGCTGATACCGGTTTGCAAAAGTTTGAGAAGGGTTCGAAGGGCTTTTCAGACAGGACGTGGCATGTTCCTTCTCTGTGCCATAGTTTTTGGTACATATACAGCCCGATTTAAAGCCCCTTTTGGCTGTCTATGAAAAGCTGTCGTTGTTGGCATATTTCCTGCATGGCGCGGGGCAGGAAGTTGCGCCGCAGGAGCTTTGTAAGTTCTCGAGTCGAGATTGCTGTCCTCGCTACCCTTGTGAGCATAAGCCCCCCCCCCCCGGAACTACTGCGACTGTGGCTGGCTAAGTTCACTGCTTATCATATTTTGTATTCCTACCTTGATACCCGCAATGTCGGTTTTGCTATACTACACCTGACTCGAACCCTAAAACCTGTCCTAAGCCCCACACCCTAAATCTAACACCTTAAGCACGAGACAAAGGCTGCCTAAGTTTGAGAGCTCTTCGGAGCTTGCATGACCGCTGGGACCAGAAGCATGAAAATCTCCAGCCTTCCAAAACCCTGAAGTTATAAACCCTGGACCCTAAAGTCCTAAACAAAGATCCCTAAACCCTAAACCCTAAACCCTAAACCCCTAAACCCTAAACCCTAAACCCTGAAACAGACCCTAAACTCCAAATCCCCAAAAGGGGCCCCTAGACCCTACAATGTAGCGGCCTTAATAATTAGAGTACGGTTTTGCGGCCCATTATACTATATTTCTACTAAGGAACCTCCAAAATAATATAGGTAACTATTAAGGCCCCAACTTGGAGGATCATGGGACTTAGTAAGTAAGGCTACAAGTACCCTGATTAGGGTTATAATTATAGTCTAAATTATAGTTACCTTATTTATAACCCTAGTTACTATGTCCCATGATCCTCCAACCCTAAACCCTAAACCCTAAACCCTAAACCCTAAACCCTAAACCCCTATATTACCCACAGAAGCCCTTAGACCCGAAGCCCCCTCTCCTGGAAGCCTCAAGGGCCCTCCGAGGGCAGCGCCTGCAAAATCACAGTAACGCAGAGGCCTTCTGAATTAGAATATAGGGGCTTAGGGTTTAGGGTTTAGGGTTTAGGGTTTAGGGTTTAGGGTTTAGGGTTTAGGGCTGAGGGATTAGGGTTTTGGGGTCCTATGAACATAGGGGCTTTAATAATGAGTATAGGGTTCCTTTAAAGGGTTTTTAAAAGGGTCTATAAGGGTTACTACATAAGGGCTACTATAAGGGTTTAGGATGTAGAGGCCCTAACAGTTACAATGGAGTTTTGGGGTATATCATACTATAACTCTAAGGAAACCCCAAAATAGTGTAGGTAATAATTTAAGCCCCTATAGTAGATAGCAGAAACAACTGGCTGGTAGGAGGTTAGCAGCAGTAGGAGTAGGAGCGCTCGTCGTCGTAGTGGTGTAGCAGGAGTAGGAGTAGTAGGAGGGAGTAGTAGGAGTAGTAGGAGTAGTAGGAGTAGTAGGAGTAGTAGGAGTAGTAGGAGTAGTAGGAGTAGTAGGAGTAGTAGGAGTAGTAAAAGGAGTAGGAGGAGTAGTACTAGTACTAGTACTAGAAGTAGTAGTAGTAGTAGTAGTAGTAGTAGTCGTCGTCGTCGTCGTCGTCGTCGTCGTTGTAGTAGCAGCAGTAGTAGTAGTAGAAGAAGTAGTAGTAGGAGTAGTCGTGGTGGTGGTGGTGGTGGTAGTAGTAGTAGCAGCAGCAGCAGCAGTCGCTGTCATAGTGGAAGTAGCAGTCCCCGTCGCCGTCGAAGTAGTAGTAGTAGTAGTAGTAGTAGTAGTAGTAGTAGTAGTGGTACAAGTAGTAGAAGTAGCGGTAGTGGTAGTGGTAGTGGCATCAGTCGTGGTAATTAGTTGCAGGAGTGGTAGTGCCCACAGATGCAGGGGGTTGTCAAGACTCACTAGCAAAGCGCTGAAGCCACCATCGTCTTTCTTTTCAATGGTCACGAAACTGCGTCTCTGTCGGGATTGCGCGTAAGGGTGTTGCTTTTAGTCTGGTGGCTTTGAAGTTCTTGTTGAGCAATTTTGGGATTCGGCGTTTGGGTTTTTAAAAAAGGAAAACCACCACTTGGTTTAGGGCTTATTACCTCCTTGGGTCCAGACTCCGGCGTGAGCCACAGCCGCCGAAATCCTCCAACCTCACCGAACCGTACAGGCACTGAAGCCTCAAAGACCTACTTGGAGGATCATGGGACTTAGTAACTAGGGTTATAAATAAGGTAACTATAGTTATAACCCCCAATTAGGGTACTTATAACCTTACTTACTAAGTCCCATGATCCTCCAAGTAGAGTGCCGTGGAACCATGAGAGAGCACGACCAACAAACCCGAAAGCCTGAAGAACCCATCTCTAAGACCACAAGAAATCCCACAAGAAGCCGTGAAACCGTACAAGAACCCCATAAAACAGGGTAAGAACCCCATAAGACCCCGTAAGAACCTCATAGAACCCTACAAAAAACAAACCATTCGAACACAACTCTGAGAAACCGGCAACCCTGCAAGAACCCCACAAAACCTTAGAACTCATAAACCGCATCATGTAGGAGCCTTAATAATTGGAGTAGGCTTTCGGGGCCAATTGTACTATAATAATAATAATAATAATACGGAGCTCCCACAATAGTATAGGTAATTATTTAGGCCCCTATATTGGAACCCTAAACCCTAAACCCGAGACCCTAAACCCTAAAGCCAAGACCCTAAACCCTAAACCCTAAAGCCTAAACCCTAAACCCTAAATCGTTTAGGCCCCTATATTAGGAATCGGACATGCAGGCCTTGTCCAGAGGTCCGAGGCCCTGAATGCCTCGGCAAAGGCGTCTCAGCTTAGGGTCTCTATCGTGGCTTAGGCTTTATGGTTTAGGGTTTAGGGTTTAGGATTTAGGGTTTTTTTTTAAAGCTGAAATACGCCCTCCTGCGCAGTCAGACGCGATTTAGGGTTTAGGTTTTAGGCTTTAGGATTTAGGGTTTGGGGTTTCCTATTGATTCCTGGGTTCTGTTGGGCTGTTTTGGTGCAAGGGTGTATGGTTTGTAGGATTTCGGGTGTCACTGAGATGCTGGAAGAGGGAAGTCACTGAACCCTAAACCCTTGGGGAGTATTTCTGTCCTAGTTCCATGGGCGGAGTCCGTTAAACAGAAGAGGGGGAGTAACATCAATTGCAAATCGAAAAACAATCAACATGTTTCAGCGCGATCCCACTCACCATCACCATCACCATCACCATCACCATCACCAGCATCATCATCATCATCAGCATCATCATCATAACCTTCGCTATTCCTTCAATAGCAAGGGCTCTAAAGTAGACAGCAAAATAAGAAGAAGAAAAAATAAGAAGAATAGAAATAATGATACTGATAATAACAACAATAATAATAATAATAATGGTAATGGCAATACAAAATAATAGTGGAAATACAAATACTGCTAACATTAATAATTTACTAATTTTGATGATGATGGTGATAACGAGGATGATGGGGGCCTCCGAAGTAGAAAGCATTAACAGCAGCACGAGGCTGGGCTCTGATACCTTTACCTTTAATATGTGGGTCTTCACGATTAGAGAGAGGGTTTGTGGCTGAAGGCGTGTCGTAGTGAATTTATGTACATTGGGACTATATCTGGAGACTATTCTAAAATACTCACAACCCCGAATTACACGCTTCGAAGGATACGTAACAACTCTCTTCAAACCCTAAACGCTAAACCCTAAAACCCTAAACCCTAAACCCTAAAACTAAAACCCTAAAACCCCAAACCCTAAACCCTAAACCCTAAACCCTAAAACCCTAAACCCTAAACCCTAGACCCTAAAACCCTAAACCGACGGTACATGGCCATGGAAGCATCAGGAACCTGAAAGGTTTTTTGGTTTAGGGCAAGGGACGAGGATTCGGCCTTCAGCGACGGCTTAGTGTTTTGGGGTTTAGGCTTTAGGGCTGAGGGCTTAGGCCTTAGGGTTTAGATTTTAGGGTTTAGGCTTAAGGGCTTAGGGATTTAGAGTTTAGAGTTTAGAGCTTAGAGCTTAGAGTTTAGGGTTTAGGGTTTAAGGTTTAGGGTTTAGCGCCAAGCTCTGAGGTTCGGACACTTGCTTGCAAACCACACACTCTTGACGCCACCGGTCTTGACGACCTCCACGTCACCTGAGGGGCTTTAGGGGTTTAGGGTCTAGGGTTTAGGGTTTAGGCGCAAGGCCAGGATGGCACAGACATTACTTGGAGGATCATGGGACTTAGTAAGTAAGGTTAGAAGTACCCTAGTTGGGGGTTATAAGTATAGTTACCTTATTAACAACCCTAGTTACTAAGCCCCATGATCCTCCAAGTACAGTCTCAAACTACCAAATCTAAAAGCCCTTACCGGAACCTAGACGCTACACTCTTAACAAAACCTTAAACCCGAAGCAGAGAAGCAGTAGAGACTAGTCGGGTTCTAGAAAAAATGGGGGTCGCGGACGACCTGACTGTCCAACCCTACATCGTAGGGCTCGCATCATAAGGACCTCCACTGAAATACTGCAAGCATGAGGGGGCTCAGTAAGTAGGGCTACAAGTACGGCAACCGTGCAACCCTAAACCCTAAACCCCAAACCCCTAAACCGTAATGTAACGATAGATAGAGATACTTTCCACCGCAAGGAAGGTACTCCTGGCCCTCTTATAACGCTGAGCCCTCAGACCCTCTAAGTAAGATAGTGTAGGGGACCTACTCAATTTAAGAGGGTTTTGGGGCATATTCTACAAAATTCAAACAAGAAGCCCCCCAAAAAAACTATTCTAATTATTAATCGCTTCCCCCTGTTATTAAAGCCTCCCCTAATATTAAA